ACATATCAACTATAGAAAGACAAATTTAAAGGTCGTTAGATAGAAAAAAAAGTGCAAATGTCAACATGTATGGATCAAATTTTAATATAATGTAAGCATATTTTTCTTTTTCTAAGACAGTATTCTCAGTCTCTCTATCGTTTAAGAGACCGTTTCTTTTTTTCTGCGGAAGTAGATTTAGTTTTCATTAAGATGTTTTCTAATATTTTTCTACTATGAGACAAGTTCAATCGACTGTGTACATATGAATAAGACATGCAGTTCGATGAGTACAGATATAGAATTATTTCGTATATATTCACTAAACAGGATAAATAAATGCTAACGAAAACAAATCAGCAATCAATTATTATTGTGAAACACGATCTGAAAGGAGTGTTGAAGTGTTTAGGGGTAGAAATTTGGACCCCACAGACCGTGACAGACACTCACGTGACCCATCACAGACCGTGACAGACATCTTAATTAATTAATTAATTAGTATTTAATTAGCTACTTAACCGTCATAGACCGTGAGAGACAGGCTTTGAACCCATCACAGACCGTGACAGACAGGCTTTAGATCCATCATAGACCGTGACAGACAGGCTTTGGACCCATCACAGACTGTGACAGAGAAACTAGTTCTAAAGCATCAGATAAACGGTTAGCTATAAATGTATTGCAAAGAAATGGAACAAAATGATTTCCATTTAATCAGTAACAACAGATTCATCGTGTTTCACATTTTTAATCCCGCAAGGTATTGCGCTAACAGCTTTTTCGTATGGTGCATCAACACAGGGCAAAGTGTATATAGATATGCAAACAAAAATAGCTAATACGTCATTGCATTCTATTGTTAAAAAACGAAAGATATATGAACTGGAAGGTATAGGGTTAAAGCCGCATACAATCAGAATATATTATATATTAGAGAATTATAGAGCAAATTTTTCTAAAGTATTTTTTATTTGTATGTTTTGTGAAGATTTGGCATAATTCAAGCCGATCATATATTGACTGTATCAACAAGCAAATATCATCTGTGATAAAGTTTTTTCAATCAAACAAAATCAAAGCATATAACAAATCGAACATCAATTAACTTTCAAAACCTACTAAACAACTCGATACATCTTTTCTAGAAAATATAAATATGTCATGTCGATTCATCATGAGTTTTTTCACTGTCATTTTGGTTCTATTAGTTTTACACATAGAAGCACAAGACAGCAGTACAGATTCTATAGTCTGATTGTTCGGTGTTAATATTACGACTATATCATATTTAGAAGTGCTGACTAATACAATCATGTCGACCAGCATGACAACAAATTCACCCAATAATCATGGTGTTACTTTAAATTCATATAACTTTGTTTTTATTCTTTTGGTTTCTTTACTTTTATTTTTATAAATAAATATTTATTTAACTAATATTGACACCTTTTTTACATAAAAATTCAAAATTCTAAGTTTACAAAATAGTCAAACAACAAAAATAAATATACCGGATGTAATAGTCTTTGCGACATTTTCTCTTTTGCATCTATCTTCATTTATGAATATTGTCGAACGTTACTTTTTTTATTCAAAAGATGTACCATTTCATACGTAATCAAAATTGCACAACGATATGTTTCTAAAAGAAATTTTTCACCATAAGGGAACATGTCTAATATCTTGCTAGTTCTCGTTATAAGAAATCTCAGACATTTTCAAGAGTTTTAGATAGACAATATTATTGATGAGTAACTTATTCTGGAATACAGCATTTAAAATAAAGCAACAGTATAGTGAGATTCTAAATCAGAAAGTTTTTCATCTATTTAAAGTTCAAAATATAAGCAGTTTGTAACGGTTTTATCAAATTATTATGGCGCGTTTTAAACATGAACTAAGAAGTTTGTTGGACAAAACAATATCAAGAGATATTGAGATTAATTGAAAAATGAGAAATCGTAAAAGGAAATATAACCAGTAATTATTGATTAAATATAAACTACTTAATAAAATCTTTTCTTCTTTACATTGATAAAACTAAGTGTCCACATTTAATGAACTATCGTAAGTGGTAAGCTTACGAAGGGATCTCTCAAACTTTTAAATCGCTTTCTCACTGAGACGGTGCTCATTTGATGAATAATAGTGATTACTGAGAAAGTCTAGTGTGATTTGGTTTTTGCGAACTTTCGATCTTAAGATATCGAAATTTTACTAGATTTCGTCAACAACAAAACTGTGGTTCTTTTCAAGTCACGTGAAAGTGTCAACTTCAAACTTTACACGAACAAAGTTCTTAATCAGATTAGTTGGTTGCTCATACATTAAATAGAAATCGTCTCGGTCGAAAAACGATTCGACACTTGAAGATGTTCTTTCATTAGTTGTCAATACTTGAAATTAATAATTTCTGAATTTTTTTTTCACATTTCTAATAATGAAACTAGTATTATAACAGAAACCTCCTATTATGTAATTCTGATCAAGTATGAAATGGTAGTTTTTGAAAAAAAAAGGAAGCTTCTATCATATTCTTGAATAGAGATACAAGCACAAATGTCGTAAAAACTTTTATGACATTCAATATACATACATCAAATACTACTACTACTAGACAGATAGGAAATGTGGTTATCTGATTAAGAAAAAAAATTTATATATAAAAATAGATGTTCCTGAGAGAATTGTTACTGTTGTTGCTCATTGATTAAATATACCATAATAGCATTCTCCATAGAATGAATAATTTATTTTGATTCGTTGGACTTTATTGTTTTGTTGATGAAAAATTAAATGTACCATTATCATCATGTGTTATGCTTCAAAAATTATCATCATCAGATATTAAAAATGATTCTTCATCTGTTCGATTGTCACTATCATATGGATAAAAATTGAATTTATTTTCAGATTTTAATACTGATATAAGAGAGTCAGTATCTTCTAAATATATAAAAAAAATTCAAAAAAAATCGAGATATTCAAAATTTTTGATTTCATTTTCTTTTTGTTTTACCATTATTTAATTGTTGAACAAGTGATGACATAGCTGAAGTTAATGAATCAGCTGCTAGAAGAAGATCAGTTTGTACTAAAATAAAATTAGAATGAAAAAAAAAAATCAAATATAAAAAATGATTTATCATACAATCATTCGTTAAACGATTATGAATTGGTGTTGAAGGTGTTGAATAACTTCTAAATGACATTTTTTTTGAAGCTAACACATGAGAATTCCTATGTGATGGTGAAATATTTAAACGATCATGTAAATTAAATATTGTTGATCGTGGTTGAAAATCATGAGAATAATGTAAAGTTCGACCAAGATTATCTAATTGTGATGTTAATTCTTCTCGACTTTGTTGTAATTGATGAATACGAGATTCTAATCGATGTTTACGTATTAATAATGTTTGTAATTCATCTTCGAAATATGAATTGTTATTCGTTGTTTCAACTGAACCAGCACGTCTCATTTGATACATAGGATCCAAACTACGTTGAACGCTTGAATATTGATTAGGTAATGTTTGAGTATAACGTTTTTCTATTGTAGAAGATACATCTGTATCACTGTATGCATGATAATCATTACTATCCATATGACTTAGAGATCGTTGTTTGAGTTTTGAACGCAATGTATTTATTTCATGAATAATACGTCTAAATAAAAATAATTCAACTTATGAAAGATACTTGTTTGATACAAATTTAGATTTTATTCAAAAAAACAGAAAACAAGACAAATTATTCATTTAAGATAAATCGAAGAACGATTTCTTGAAAAGTATTTGACCGGAAACTTTCGGTTGATTTTATTAATGGAAAAAAAATTATTGCATATTCATCTATTTCTTAATTGAAACTAGGCTCAACATAGATAAGTAATTATTTATTGGAATCACATCACGCAATGTTGTGTGATTAAGAATTATCTTCGATCTTTTATTTCTATCGAGCTACTGAGTGTTAAATTGTAAATTCACCTAATAATGAAAAAATAGACTTTCGAATTTTGTTAACATCTACAGTTTTGAGAATTAACTTGAAATTTTAATGAATTATTTTGATCTGTACAGAACTGTTTTGTCAATATTTTCTTTATCTTAACAGATACAAGTAGAGATGTAAGCCGAGGTATTTGATTGTAAACAGCTGATATTACTCGATAAAATTTGAAAAATTTTTCTTTTCGAAACAAACACGAGAAAACAATGTTAGAGAACTTACTGGCAAGGAATCAAACGGTAACGTCTATAAAAACTAATTTGGGACGGCGGAAATTCTTAAAAGTCAAATGTTTATTTTTACGTTGCGGTGACGGCTGACATTTCTAGACACAAGCTAGAATACAGGTCTGTTCTGCATATTCATAACTGATTAGAATATAGAAGATGCATACAATGTGCGCTATCAAGTCCATGAACAAATCAGTATGTGACGCTCAAAATGAATCACATACTACATGAAAAAATACAAGGATATGTTAAGATTAAAACCTTGTATATCGTTCTTTTGAATAAC